AAAAAAAAAAAAAAAAAAAAAAGGAGACAAAGAATTATAAACTTTAAAATATAAATTCCCTGGGCCAGGCCGGGTAGCTCAAGCCTGTAATCCCAGCACTCTGGGAGGCCAAGGCATGTAGATCACTTGAGCTCAGGAGTTTGAGACCAGCCTGAGCAAGAGCAAGAAGCTGTCTCTAAAAATAGCTGGGCATTGTGATGGGCGCCTATAATCCCAGCTACTTGGGAGGCTGAGGCAAGAGAATCAACTGAGCCTAAGAGTTTGAGGTTGCCGTGAGCTATGATGCCATGCCACTCTACTGAGGGCAGCAAAATGAGATTGGGTCTCAAAAACACAAAACAAAACAAACAAACAAAAAACCCCTGGATGCAGAACAGTATGTAGAATGTGGTCCATCTGTATGAGTAAAGCATATGCACACGGGAGTAAGTGCATTAATTTTTCTCTGGAAGGATTCCCAAGTGATTACACAGTGTTACTGTGATGGAATATACTCTTCATCTATATCTTTCTGAGGGTGAGACATTTTTGTTTTTCTGGGTTTTTTTTTTAGATTTTTAAAAAATAGTCATAGGGATGACATACTTTAAAAATATTTGAAACTTAGCCAGGCATTGTGGCGGGCACCTGTAGTCCCAGCTACTCAGGAGGCTAAGGCAAGAGAATCGCTTAAGCCCAGGACTTGGAGGTTGCTGTGAGCTGGGACGCCACAGCTACCGAGGGTTATAAAGTGAGACTCTGTCTCTACAAAAAAATTTTTAAAAAAAATTTGAAACTTCATGTAAAAGTCACTGTATTAATCTGTGGACGATAGGAAGTTCCCATAAGAACACTCCATTATGGTCCCACTCTTGGAAAAGTGTCCTTGAGCACATAGAAAAATTCAGGTCAGAAATATCTACTCCAAGTATCTTAGAGTGAGCTTTTTAATATTCTGAAAAAGCATGTAAAGGTGGGAAAAAATGAGCTGAAAGAGAGTTATTATGGGAGATTTTCCTCTCCAAAAACAACCGAGTTTCTATGTGCTAAATACTGGGACCATCTGGGAATAGACCAATAGAAGGAGGTATGGTCCTTGCTCTGGAATAATTTTTTTACCTTCTGTAAGGTATTTTTTTAGAAAAAAATAAAGATGCCTACTTCATTATTTAGGACAATAATTGTTAATTTGTAACTAATTAATCCTATTCCGTTCATAGCTTGGAACAAAACACTCCTAAATTTATAATTGCAGGTCTAACTGTGCTGTCTTTCCCAGCAGAGGAGATCGGTATCTGGATTAAAATTTAATGAAGTTTGGTCAAGCAGTAGAAGCCAGATAGAGTATTCCAGGAATGGCTGTACTTGCTTGAGTCCTAACTCTGTAAGTGGATACTTCCAATACTGTCCTAGAGGCTGCTGCCGATTAAGACAAGTTACTCCTTTATGTGCTAGTAATTAAACATTGAAACTTGAAAAGCACTAAAGCTACCAGAATGTTAATTAGGGAAGCCTAACAGCTTGGGAAGAACAGATAGTAACTTATTAATAATTGTTACCAATTAATCACTTATTATGTGTCCTGAAGCATGTCAAAGGACATTATTTGAATTATCATTTTCAAATAACAGTCTTATGATGATGATCTCACCAAAGCCAGCATCAGAATCACCCAAATAAAAGTGGATTATTATCAGTGTCATGGGAGCATCAGAGATCCTCTCTGACTATAATATGCATTTAAGTTTCCTCCATGGCTTGATGTCCTTTTAGCAGTGAATAAAATTCCACTGTCTGGATATAGCACAGTTAATCCATTCACCTACTGAAAGACATCTTAGCTGCTTCCAAGTTTTGAAAATTATGAATAAAGTTGCTATAAATATCTGTGTGCAGGTTTTTGTGTGGATGTAAGTTTTCAATTCACTTGGAAAAGCAGCAAGGAACTGATTGCTAAATCATATGGTATGAGTCTATTTAGTTTGGTAAGAAACTGTCAAACCATTATCCAACGTGGCTGTACCGTTTTGTGTTCCCACCAGCAATAAAGGAAAGTTCCTGTTGCTTTACATCCTGGCCAGCTTCCTGGCCAACTTCTGGTCTTGTCACTGTTTGACCATTTTTATTTTTGGAGATCATTTCACTATGTTGCCCTTAGTAGAGTGCTATGGCATCACAGCTCACAGCAACCTCAAACTCTTGGGCTTAAGCGATTTTCTTGCCTCAGTCTCCCACATAGCCGGGACTACAGGTGCCAACCCAATGCCCGCTATTTTTTTTGTTGTAGTTGCCTTTGTTGTCTGGCAGGCCCAGGCTGGGTTCAAACCCGCCAGCCCTGGTGTATGTGGCTGGCACCCTAGCTGCTGAGCTATAGGCGCCGAGCCTGTTTTGACTATTCTAATATGTGTATCGGATTGTTTAAATTAACCATTTTTTAAGTTTAACAATTCAGGTAAGAAACCATGGGATTTGAGGGCTGTAAAAAAGATTTTGACTCTGGTCTACTTCTGTCCTCTCCATACCTCTGCTATCCAACATACACATTTTATAAATAAACTGAGATGGAGAGAACTGGCTGCGGGCAGGGCAGAGGCCAGAGCCCTTAATCCGCTTTGCTAACACTCACTTGACATTCAATAATTGTCTTTATCCTCTCATTTGGGAATTTTACTTTTTGTAGTGAAGGCTCCAAGAGACGTAGATGATCACCGTGAAGAACCAGGACTGTGGTCATATATAATTGGTGCTCACATATTTGTGGAGTGAATGACTCACCAGGTTCTCTCTGGGGCCTTACTGTGCTTTCTACATTATCAGTGAGTCAACACGGGGTCCTGTGCTGCAGGCAGAGGGACTGTCCCTCTACAGTACCAAGAACCTTGTGTGGAGGGCTTGTGATAATCAGAACTATCAGATACTCGTTTTTTTGACAGGCTAATTCTAATTTGTGTGAGATCAAGGCTCCTTGCAACCTCGATTCCTGGGCTCAAGCGATCCTCCCCATAGGTGGTAATTTGTTTTTACATATTGAGGGTTTCTCCTCTCGGTGGAAATGAATCATCTTTCTCTCAGGTTTTTCTCTCAAGCCTTCTCTGAATTTTACCTGACATTGCTCACCATTTCTTTTTTTTTTTTTTTTTTGAGACAGAGCCTCAAGCTGTCCCCCTGGGTAGAGTGCCGTGGCATTACAGCTCACAGCAACCTCCAACTCCTGGGCTCAAGCGAGTCTCCTGCCTCTGCCTCCCAAGTAGCTGGGACCACAGGCGCCCGCCACAGCGCCTGGCTATTTTTTGGTTGCAGCTGTCATTGTTCTTTGGCGGGTCCGGGCTGGGGATTCGAACCCGCCACCTTAGGTGTACGTGGCTGGCGCCTTAGCCGGTTGCTCACCATTTCTTGATGTTGACAGTGGGGAGAGTTTCTGGTAGAGGATATAAGAGTCAAAATAACCTTGAAGAGTGCCTTTATCTCTTAGAAATGTAGGTCTGGGAGGTTTAACCAGTATACTAAGCAGACTCTGAACCTGCTCTTCCTCACCAGCATCCCTACACATATTGATTCAACCCAGAACTATACCCAGCAAGAACGGAGGGCACATCTTCACTGGTTTCCTTCCTCTGTCTAGCACTTCCAAAGTCTAACCTAAGAGGATTTATGGAGGTATATATTCCGTAGCATAACCAATTTGGAAAATGCAGATTTGACAGACTTGTGTGTGACAGTAGCCTCCACTGCCACATGCAGGAGCACTGTGCTCTGAGCCTGCTGGCCCTTGCTGCCTCGGCCCTTCCCTCTCAGCCCTCTCACCTTCTGCTTGTCCTTTGAGCTCAGTCTGAGTCCTCAGAGCTCTGCAGGTATCAGATACCCCACGGAATGAGAAAGGTGTACATTGAGCCATCTGGGACAACCCAGCAGGTCCTGTATGTGTCCTTCCCTCATCTTTGCATTCCCAGCCCCTCACTTAGGCTCTGGCCCACAGCAGGTGCTCAGAGGCTTAGGAGACAGCAAGGTGTTGCTGTTAAAGACCTCAAGCTTTGGAATCAGATGGATTTCTATGCTCAAACCCTGAGCTGATCACCTGACCATAGCCTGTTGCTTACTTTGAGCCTCAATTTCCTCATTTCAAATGGGAATCAAAACTCACCCTGAGAGGGGAGAAGCATTCATTACAAAGTGTATGGGCTGGGTATGGTGGCTCACGCCCGAAATCTCAGTACTTTGGGAAGCAGAGGTAGGCCAATCACTTGAGGCCAGGAACTCAAGGCCAGCCTGGGCAAGACAGAGAGAACCTCATCTCTACAAAAAATTTAAAAATTAGCCAGGCCGCTTATAGTCCCAGCCACTCAGGAGGCTAGAGCAGGAGGATTGCTTAAGTCTGGGAGTTCAAGGCTGCAGTGAGCTATGATCACATCACTGCATTCCAGCCTAGGTGACACAGTGAGACCCTATGTAAGAAAAAAAAAGCATACAAAATGTGTTTAGTGTTCAATAGATTCTTTCTCTTTTACAGTAGCCTTTTATTTTTAATACCTATTATACATGAATTCATAGGGAAAGTTTCCAGCAGCTCAGAGAGTGGCTTTTAGCTTGCTATGCCTATTAGGCCATGAATTCATGGGGAACAGGTTCCAGCCCCTTATGCTCCTGTTCCATTGGTTCTCTTGGTTCTCCTGTGTGCTATGCTGTACGCCTCTTATGCCATGAATTCATAGCAAATGGGTTCCAGGAGCTCAGGCTCCTTTCTGTTGGGTCTCACAAAGTGGGCTCCTCTGGGTAGAGCAGGCTAGAGCTTCATTTGAACCCAGGTGCCTTTCTCTTTGGCTTCCTTCTTTTTCTGATCATTTTCTTTCACGTGTTTTAGAAAGCTATCTCAGCTCTTAAGAGTGCTTAATATTCTCATTATGAACATTAATCCTCTTGGCAAGAATCTTGCCCTTGACTTGGCTGTTTACAACTATGCCAACAGCATGCCGGGTCACACTGTAGACTCTTGCAGTTTTGCCACGGTAACATTTGTGTGGCCTGCCTTTTTGAACAGTACCCATTCCCCTGAGGTCTACAATATCACTTTTCTTGTAGATTCACATATCACCTCTGGCTGAAGGAACAACTCCATGTTTTCTAAAAGACCTAGAGCACCTGTATCGGGTGCTCCTCTTTCCCTTGGTGTTCATCATGTTGGTGAATTACTGGAAGATGGAGTCTCTGGTCGAAAGGCTTCTGCCGGACTCTTACCACCCCATTACATTCAGGAGACAAGGAAGCAGGAGGCTCTTACCGGCTATGGTATGGAGACAGGCATCTAAATTAGGTGTACAATTGGCGACCGAAGTGCAGTCAGCGACTGGGTTCAAACAGCTGTAGCACTTCAGGCTAAAACCTAGATTCAGGAAGAAAGCTCATTAGGACCTTTCAACTCGTACTGACTTCAGCCCTGGCAGCTTACAATCTTCATTAATGTGGGACAGAGGTTGGCAACTCAGTGGCATGCTTGCCCTCTCATGAAAGCTGGGAAAGTGCTGATATCTTTCCAAGCTCACACTATAGCAACATCTTCGGACACTGACACAAACACAAAGGAGAGAATCACATTTCAAAACCCATCTGACTGTGCAATTGGGACGCTTCCTCCTAACCATCAACTGGCAAGAGATTAACCTGCAATGTAATGATCTATTAAAAGGAAACTATCAAGAGATGAAGCTAGCAGAATTCTATAAGTGCTTTGCAAGCAAAAAAATATACTCAATTAAATCACATCTTCATGGATCGATGATCAGTATTTGGCGGTACTTATCTCTGTGACAGGAGATTTTCAAAGAGGAAATAGGTTGAATATCATTCATTACCTACCGATATTAACAGATGAACATCTGCAACTTATTTGATGACAGAGAACACTAATTGTGAACCCCAATTAAGCAAAAAGCTCCCCCCTACAATGAACTCTATACCTCTCATTAGAAGGGTATTATATGTTGGTACTCGATTATTATGTCATGAATTTTGTCAATTTAAAATTTGTGAAAATGCATTTCCCCTTTTTTTATATAAGAACTCACGCAGTATCCTTGATTTTGTCTCTCGGCCTGCAAAGCCTGAAGTATTTATAGTCTGGCCCTGCACCAAGCTGATGACTTCTGGGAAAGGGTATCATCCCTGAACTGTTTCCTATTAAGGGACTGACCCAGTGCCAGTCAAGAGAAGACAACAGCTGAACACTTCAAACCACGGGGGTTGGGACAGCCAAAACAAGCAGAGACACTGAACGCAGGGGTCACCTTCCATCAGAGGCAAATGGCATCCAATTCTCTACTTTGAAAAATGACTTGCTCCCAGTCAAGTTCTTACTATTCACCTTTGCTAGCCAAACTTCAGTTTGCTGGATTAGTATTCCTCCTTCTCCGTTTTCATAACAACAGTGACAAGCAAAAGATGAAGTGGGGAGAGGCTGAGGAAGCAAGAGTCGGAAAGAAATCTTTTTGATTGAAATGGATATACATTTTTCTATTTCCTTTCTGCCATGTGGCTTCTGCCATGGAATCAGTACTTGGTGGAACCTACCAGTGTGAAAAGACATTTTCAAAGATCTCACAGAAGAATGTCATGTTTAAAGCAAGTGTGGGTTTTCAAGCCCAAGAGCTGACTTCTTTTAGTTCTAAAGCCAAAGCCTATATTTAGCACCATGAAAAGAGGGGATTTCCCAAAAGTTGGTGGAAGGGAGTCCTGTCCTGAGCATAGACAGGACCCAAGCTCTCTGTAGCAACTTCAATGGCCAAGTCTGCCTTCTAGGTGTGAAATCCCACTCAGCAAAGAACCCCTTGTTCTGCGAGGGTTCGAGATTACTACTTTGAATCTTTAGTCCAAAAACCCCTCCCTCCCCACTATGTTTGCGGACGACAAGACAGATGCCGGGATAGGAAAGTGACTCACCCAAGGACACTCAGCTATGAAGTGGCAGAGCTGAAGCCAGTCCCCAAACCAGAGGGAGGGCTCCATCAGACCCACTGTGAGCATGTGTCATGCCTGTGTGAGAGGTGAGCCACAGTGACGTGGCACAAAGAGGTAGTTTTCCTGCGGTCCCTTCCTTCTACCACGTGTGTGCATATGGACGAGAGGAAAAGGATCTAACAGTGAGGGTGTTGTTCCCACCTGGCCATGTCTTAGGGCCATTTTAAAAGGGCAGCAGTAGAAGTTAACTTCCTGCTGGCTAGAGCCAGAGCTTAGTTGGCTTCTTTACAAATTTTAGAGAAAGGAAGGTCAAAGTCCCCATTTGGGACTTCTGTGGGGCAGAAATATGCACGGCTAAGTGCATTCGATATTCAAATATCTGTGCATCTAGGTGCTAGCCCTTCATAGAATTGTTACAAGAAGTGGGCTCAATTCTCTTCATGCCCATTTTGCAAGAGAAAACTAAGATTAAGATGCTAAAGAAATTGTCCAAAGTCACTACGCGACAGAGCTGAGACTCCAAACCAGGTCAGTTCTCAAACCCAAGCCTGGTTTACTCAAGATGCTCTTCTAATCCACCCGAGCAGCCAAGCGAAGGAAACTACACAGACTGAGAGGGAAACCAAGGCCAAAGATAAGCAGTAAGGCAGTGGGTGATTGATGTTCTCACCACTAAGCCAGGGTACAGACTGTGAAGGACGGTTCCCTGCAGTTCCTCAGAGTCCTTGGACAGCAGCAAGGGAGGCTCGTGTGTGTGTGTGTGTGTGTGTGTGTGTGTGTGTGTGTGTGTGTGTGTCTGCCTCATACTCCAACGTTCTGAGGAAGGGCTTACTATACCCTGAGACCTGCCAGGAGCAGCTGATGGCCCCAAACCCAATCTTGCTGTGAACAAAGGCAGACTGCTGGATGTGACTGGGACATTATAATTACAGAGGGTACACTGGGCAGAGGATCTCAGAGTGTGATGACGTAACACAGGTGAACCACATGACAGCCACCCTAGCTGGAGCTAGTGGAGGTGAAGAAAAAGGGGACTATGCTTAGGACTGGACCCACTTCCAATGGACTTCTGAGAAATCTCCTCTTTCCATGGTGCTAAACGTAGGCTTCGCCTTAGAACTAGAAGTCAGCTCTTGGGTTTGAAAACCCACACTTGGTCATGATCTCTCTTTTGGCTCAGAAAGGAAGAACATATTCAAGTGTATCCTTGGACAAGTGACTGCTCTGCACTCACCTCAGTGTTCTCAACTGTCAAATGGGCATAAAAGCACTGACCTCCTCCTGGGATAGGGACTGTGCTGAGACACAACACAGTCCCGATTCCACAATGAGCAGTCAATACACAGTAGCTGGTAAAATTAAAAGGCATGCTTCAACAGCACAGAAATCTTTTCTTATTGCTAACTGTATTGCAACTGCTGTTTCTGCTTCCCCACTACCCACCACACACACACACACAAACACAAAAGAACCAAAAGCAGTAGTGGCCAGGATGTTACACCAATGTGATGCAGACAGAAAATAACATGTGACCTCTATGACAGAGCAAAGCAGGAAGCCTGGGTGTTCCTACTGCTATAGAGGTTAGGACTCAGAAGTACCCAGGGACCTGCAGGAACAGAGATAAGGCAGCAGGGGAAGGGCGGTACAGGAAGGGGTGGCCAAGGAAGGGATGCTGCAGGGGAAGGGGTGACCCAGATGAAGGGGTGGTCCAGGAAGGGATGGCCTGGAACAGCAGGGGCTTATAGAACATGACCTGGGGACCCAGACTGTGTCTGTTCACATTCTGGTGTACCACTTGGGTGTGTGTTTCAACACATTATTTAATATTTGGGGGCCTCAATCTTGTCATCTCTAAGTGGGGACAGAAGTCTTACCTATCCCAGCAGGTTGGCATCAGGACTGAATAAGCAAATACATGTAAAATGCTCAGAATAGTGGTTGGCACATAAATGCTGGGAGCCTTGGCTGCTTCTGTCATCACTGTGACCATGACCATTGCTACAGCATAGGAGAAGTCCCAGGGTAGAAGGACTAAGCCCCTCGGTGGCTCTGGGCACAGTGGACCCCAGTGGGGCTGGCCCAGCACCCCAAGCACAGTACCCACTGTTATCTGCAATCTGCCTGTGGTTAGAGTGTGAAACCCAAGCTGCCAAGTGTTGCTCCACCCTGTAACTCAGGCTGGCCTACAACCCTAGAAGGGGCCCACTGAGGACAAGGCCACAGTAGGAAGGAGGTATCATACAACCCCAGACCTGTAAAACTGGAAGGCTGAAGAACCCAAGCCAGGCCTGCAAGATGAACTGGTGCCGAAACTGAGGACAGTGGTGTCAGCTCAGTTACCCTGAGCCTAAGAAAACGGAAATCAAGGCCAAGGCTGTGTGGACCCAGGACTCTGGAACTCACCTGAATAGCAAAGGATAACCAGGACAAACAGGAGAGGAAGCAGCACCAGCTTTTCTAGGCTTCTCATCATGCCTGTCCACAGAACCTAGAAGGAAGGGGACAGGACGGGTTGTTATGAACAAAATACTGCTAGATGTCTCAGAGACTGGGAGCTGGAAGGCTCAGTGAGCTTAGGAGGCCTCGGGAAAGAGCTGCTAGAAAGAAAAACAGCAGCAACCCACCAGGCTGGGGTGCCCCAGACCAGGGGTGCTCTCAGGAGGGCGCACTTAACCCCTCCTCCTGACCCTAGACTTTGGCTTACTGAAGGAACGTGGCCAGTCTTAGTGAGAGGATAGCTGCAGGCATTAATGCAACTGGGCGGCATCCAGTCCTAACCCACAGCAGCCACCAAAACTTGATTATACTTAGTCCTTATCAGCCTCATTTCACTGCCAGGCAGTAGAAATTATGAGGTCTGCTTGGTCAGATGAGATAGGAGAGGAATGACCAACGCAGTAGCCCAAGTTCCTGTTCTACCGGTTCTACCTCATGCCACTGGCTGAGCTGGAAGGCCCTTTCTCCTCCAGGTCACTCTAAGTGAAGTGATCAAAGGGGATCTCTGGAGGGGAACAGCCTACATTCCGCAGCAGAATGGGGGCAATGGCTTAGCATGCCTGGAAGCGCTGGGTTGGGAGGGAAGTATCAAGTCCCAGCCTCAATTCCATGCAACTGGCTGGTCTTCACGGCGGCCTGAAGGGCAAAGACAGCAGAGGGAGAAAGTGACGGGTATGCAGATGCCAAAGTTGGCCTGTTCAGTTAAAAATATGACCAGGTCTTTGTTAATTACAAATGTGAATTTCCAAGAGCGAAATGCTCACGTGGAGTGTGTGAGTCCTGAAGTGTTCAGAAAAGTGTTCAGTGTTAAGAGTGTATGCATAGGCCAAAGAAGAAATAGGTGAGCATTTTAAAGGTATTTTAAAGCTATACAGGCCCTCAAATGTGGACAGCAATTAATGGTAAGCAGGATTATTGATGACTTTTTACTTTTCTTCCTTACTTTTTGGCACTCTTTCCCCAAATATTTTATCATGAATCAAGTTTTACCTTTAGAATCAGAAAAATCCACACATCACAAATGTTCCTTTTTCAGTAGTTATACACGTGTACCACCGATCTTTTGAGAAATCTATCTTGGAATTGAAAAAAATAAACACCCAACCTCATGGTTTTGAAATTCCTCCCTAGTCGGCTCGGCGCCTGTGGCTCAAGTGGC